AACTTCTTCAGCAGCTTCTCGTTGAAATATGTTCCACAAGGGAAGCGGAAGTGAAAAGAAGCGGGTTTAGATTTATTTTGAATTTATGTTTCTTTTCACAATTTATTTTTAATTCTAGACGATATAATAATCAGACATGACAAACACTTGGAAGAATTATCGAAGGTAGCCAGAATAAATCCTGATTAGGTTTCCATTGCAGAGTCCCGGCCAAGCTCCGGCAATCTGTCGAGTAACGACTCGCATGTGGGCCCGCGAAAAAGTTCGACATGCTCGAGTACCGGCAGCGGCTGGGACATAGACATAGCTCCGCCGACGAGCAGTAAGTTCATGTCAACGATTAGAGCGATTCATTGTCGGGAATGCATCGTAGCTCACACGATGCTGATCCAGGTTCACAATCGTTGGAGAGTAACGGATCGTCCGGGATCGGTAGTCTCACCAGTTTGCGCAGAAGGTGGTGGAGGGCGATCTCGACTTCCCTCGGACGATCGGACTCCGACGACGCCTTCGGGATGCAGCACTGGAACGAGAATGGAAGCGACGGGCGTGACGGACACGCTAAGCGTCACAAAACCAGGCTGGGTTTGACGATGTTAGTGCGATTGGTTCAGGGCCAGGAAAGGTATAAAATTGTCTAGCGCGTTTTTTATTTAAATTTATAAAGTCTGAACACAGACGTAGTGACTTTAAATATAAATTTGGCCGATGTATGTGTACAAAGAAATGAAAGCTAATTGTAAGTGCGGGAGAAAGAAAAATTAAGTAATTTTTTAAAAGCGAAAGCTATCGGTTTTTGCACGTCCACGCCTTGGAATTGAAATTACAATTTATTAACGAATCGAATTAATATTGTTTATTCCGTAAGATTTTAGACATTTTTAATATAAATTACATAAATATATGTGCTTTGGATTCTAGGAAAAATTAATAATTTTAAGCAGAACAATATGTATAATTTGTAGCCAGATAAAGACGAGGCTTTTAGAACATATGGCATTCCTAGAAGGGATGCTGGATCGTTTGCGGTATTTTTGCATCGAGACGAGCAATATCAACGGTTCCAACTGCAAGAGGATGCAGTTGACTGACAAAATGTACAGGGCGACGTCTCGATTTGTCGTCTCGCTGTTGCATATACTTCTCGATGTCGACGTTAACACCCGCGCGCCTCTGCTGTGGCACGACGTTCTGCTTAATTCCGTGACGGTGAATGAGACGACGAACACCTTGCATCGCAGTTTACAACAGATGTGTCAATTGTTCGACGAGCTCGATACGAAGTCGACAAATTTGTGAGTGTAGGAGCGTAGATCGCGGATTGAATGACCGTCCCGATATTTATTTCAGCGTCTTTCAGTTTCCTTAGCACCGTGGTAACTGCCGTATTAACGTATCATCTCGGTTGGGTGTACACTGTGCTCTCTCCGCATGATCGGCACATGGTGAGTTTAAAACGTTGCAGCGGAGAAGAAACTTGGAATTAACTACAGAGATTATATGCACCTCATCGAACTGTCGAACAATCGATTGTGATGAGAAAATATCAAGATAGAGATAAAATCTTTAAGTTCAAAGGCATCTGTTTTTCTGCAGTTTGAGACCCTTGAACGCGCTAAAGCATTTATGTTCTTCTAAGTATAATCAGTAGATGAAATTAACAAAATCTTTCAAAAACACATTAGCATCATATGAAGCATATTTAGAAAAAGTCTACTTAAATAATCAATGAGTTAAAAAATGTTGATAACAAAGATTAGATTTAATGATGTCAATAGGATGACAAATGTCGGTTACTAATGTTATGCAAAAATTTAGAAAAAATATTAGCGATAAGTGACAATTTATCTCGATTTTCAGATCGAGAAGCTGGGTAGCTGGTATTCTTGCAATCCGCTGTGGGCACAGCTTTGCGACCTGTATGGCGCACTAGGCAACCCCGTGAAAGTGGCGCATACCGTAATTGCGGGCGATCCTCGAAAAAGCGAGCTGATTAATTCCGTCTTGTCGTTCTTGTCGTACTTCATCCGCAGCGGGATGGTGCGGAAGCGCCAGGAATACCGTTGCACGTCGCAGCAAGACGTGCAGATGGCGACGAACATGTTGGAGCAGGCTCGCAGCAAACGACCGTATCTGTTCGTTAACAGAAGGCCGACATGCGCGTTCAACGATCGAGACACCTCGACTCGCAGACGCGAATCGTGCGTTTTACCGTCGCGCAAGTCGACACAATCGGCCGAAACCGGAACAACCGGCGATGTTAACGTAAAATGCATTCCACGGTATCCGGCAGAACGACCGAGGGTCTCGCGATCCGTCAGTCCCCTGAAGCGTAGCGGTACCATGAAATCCGGCCTTGACGCGCTCATGACGAAATCGACCGAAGCACCGGTGGACCTCAAGTTTCCGGCGAAAGAATTTCCATCGCGTGAAAATGACGAGAGCGACAAGTACGAGCTGATGCAGGAGGATCGAGCTAAGGACAGCGAGAAAACTTTCAAAGTGTCGAGCGAAGTGAAAATAATCGTTAGCGAAATTGGGTCGCAGGAGGATATCACGTCAAAGGGATGTCAGCCGCAAGACTTCTCGCAGTTCTCTTTGCGAGGCTTCGAGAAGAAGTTGGACGCGCGCGATGCCGAAGAGAGTCTCGCGACTGGAAAGACTGAGCTGCACCATCGGCTGAGTAACAATGTGGATCCGCTCAAGATGTTCTACAGCAGACCTGAGTTGCCGCTTGACGCGAACGGTGGCTTCGTCGACGAATTTAAGGAATCGCAGGTCTTCTTCACTCTCGGTGGGGAAGATAAACCCGCAAAGTTACCCCTGAGGCCGCGTCTCGGCAACAACTGCCAGTGCTCTTACACCTTCACGAGACTGCCTAGTACATCTGCGCAACTCCCGGAGGGCGTACTGAGAAAGATCATCCAGCGAAACTTTCCCGAATCGTCCAAGAGCATACAGCCGCCTCCGGGGGCGGCATCCAGTATGGGTGCGAGGTCTATAGGTTTTTGTTTGAAGTGCAACGGTCAGGGATACGCTGCCTCGCAGGATTATGACAGCAGCAAGCAGGTGTTGGAAACGCCGACGAACGCGACGGAGGTGTTGCGCACGTGCGGAAGTTCCGAAGGTGGCAGAACCATGAGACTGTCGCGATCCAACAGTTTGGAGGCTCTGATGGAAGCCAACAGCGTCGTGGAATTGCCAATGCCACAGTCAGTGTACTGTCAAAATAGCATATAATGTCCGTTAAAAAGTCTCGATCTCTTCGCGATAAACTCATGGAATTATGTTAATTCGAAGACAATTTAGAAATCTAGATCTTCGAAGTTTAGGCACAGCATATTAAACTTCCATTTTAATTCCATCACTTTGTAATGAAATTACTTTTGCTATCTTTTATTTTCGTTACTTTCTCATTTGGCTTTAAAATGATGCGATAACCATTGTTACAGGTCGAGGAAAGTTTCGCAGATCAAAACTGGATTAATTAGAGAAATGGGCTTCACGAAAACTCTCATGAGAAATACGATGGCGAATGACGAAAGTAACGTTTTAAGTACGGGCTACACGTGGGGTTTGGTGCTGCAGGGTGTGACTAAGAAGAAAAAGAGAAGGAAAAAGAAGAAGCTGTCGGAGGACGAGAAGGACAGCCCCGAGATTCAGGGGGAGAAATGGTGGTCGTACATGCGAGAGGAAGTTATGGCCAGCGCTCGATTTCCGACGATCGATCAACCGGTTGCAGAAGCACTCTGCGTACTAGCTGACTTGGACACGTGGCACGTCGGGATCCTGTCAAATAACGCGCCCTGGCAAAATCCTCCACTACCAGTCGGAATGTCGCGTCTGGTGTCAAATATGCTGGAATCCTTTGTCTATGTATGGCGAAAGTACCACTCTCCTACTCACGTGAGTTTTGTCAACTCAATTCAATCAAAATTTCTCTCGCCCTTCCTCTCTCTGTTTATACATGTACTTTTTATAAACGAGTAACTATCTGGGGTGAAATTTATTTCAGTGCATAGCGATTTTGGAGGCTAAATTGAGGGAATTATGGTTGAGAAGCGAAACCTTGGCGGAAATGATGATGTCAATGGAAGAGTCCGACGCTAATGTGAGCAACTTAACGAACGCTCTTGATCTCGATGCAGCTGACATACCACTTTTACTCGCGGTCGCAACCACCCATTCTCCGGAAATAGCGCAACGATTTGGTCTTACATTAACGTAAATTTTCGTTCGATTGTACATATTGGTTTTCTTCTTACGTTATCTTGACAGATCTTTTCTGAGTAGCGTATCAAGATACGTTGATATTTAAATCAAAAGAAACTAATAAGATTCTTCGCCGAATAGCATAATTTCGTAACACGTAATTAAGTACATGATACCCAATCGTGCGCGTGTAAATTAAATTAGGCTGTAAGGTATTATTTTATTCTCGCAGTTAGTTATTCGTTTCAGCGTTTTTTAATGAGTCGTAGCTCTTATAACATAAAATCGATGGCTGATTTCTTTACTAATAAAATACGTACTGTCTATATCTGGTTTTTTTACACGATTCATGCGAGCTTGCAGTTGTACACGTCTAATTAATAAATTCTGAATGAATTTTTTTACCCTGCTGTATATTTCTTAATAATTCTCTAGGACTGGCGAATTTCTTAAAAATTATTGACCAACTATTTCAGTAAATTATATGTTATTATATTGGTCTGAAATGCAAATAAATTTTTATCATAGATAGATCGAAAAGCTCGAGCTTTAATAAAACGAATCTATCTGGTTTTCATCAATTGGAAAGTTCATCGATATCTAATAAGGTAATAATGAATAACGTCACGCGGCTCAGCCGTTTCACTTTTTTGTTACCTTCCGAAACGTTTGAAAATTATGATTAAAAGGTTTAAAAATTGTATCTAACTAATAACTAAATTCCCCCGCTATATTTCTGTGATATCCGAAGTGAGATACCTGCATCGGCGCACATCGTTTCAAGAATCATGGAGATCTGTCCCCCTGATCCGTGAGCTGACACCGCAATAACTTGTTGACATTTCGTTTTGACGCTAAACATATTTTTTTATATTCAGAATCTCGTATGTGTCTTTTTAAAATAAATACTGACTAATTTATCATCGCAGACCTAAACAAACATCTCGACAATCGATTATCGAGGCAAAAAATAAAATTCGGGTGAGCTTTCATAGAACAGAGAAAGAAAAAATTATTATGACACAATTATATTTTATGTTTTATAAATTTCACAATTTATGTTGCACGCTCGTCTTGGAATGTAAACGCATTTTAGTTGGGCCACGATGCATGCTGCAACTGCTGCTGCTGTTGCATTCCGCAACCCACATGCTACGTGAGTTGATATATTTTAACGTTTGAATTTATGCATTTATTTATTCATTTTGGGTATAAATTAGAGAGCAAATGACTTTTACAGAAATATGTCCAGCCAGAGGTGGCAAAATCTTTCGCACCTATTCATGTAAGTAATTTAAAATATTCTATGAAGAATATTTCGACGTTTATTTTAACATTTCTGATTCTATCCGACATACACTCCGGTTAAATTAATGTTAGAGAATGTTTTGCCTTTATTCGCTGTTGTTATACAATCTCAACTTTCTCTTCAGTATTACTGGAAGTCGAACGTACCGATGGACAAAGATACAACCTATCGTCTCTCTTATTGGGAAGGACCTAGCACCACTGTCGGATCCCTTCGTCCTGAAGACAATCTGACGTGCAGTGACACGCCAGTGTCTGATGAAACGACGCACAAAGTATAACGAAAATTTTATTTTTAAAACGAGTCGCCGGACTGGAGCTCGATTGCTCTTCCAGATGAGCTACTTCGGCAATTGGTGCATAAAAACTGATCCGCCGATAATACCCTGCGACAGACAGTGGCTGGGTAGAGGTCCGATGGAAGATGTCACGACGCACAAGCACGATTATTCATGGAAAAGCGTGGGACGTCCTGAGATCATCAAGGCGCAGAATAATTTGTACCCTCCCTGTGCTGCTTTGTCTGGTAATCCTCATCGCTACGAATCTGTCTGTAATGTGAATTTCGAAAAAACAAAATGCATAGTAAAAAGTATTGTCAATTGAATTAAAAACCACGTCGGGGGGGGCAGATGATACGACGTATCGCTTGAGCTACTACAACTCCTCCTGCTTGCTTCCGGTACAATCTTTCGCGCCTGTTAGAAAATATGCCAAGTCGGATACACCGATGGAAGGCTGTACGACGTACAGACTTAGCTACTGGCCAAATGAGGCTCCCATAAAAGTGAGTTTCGAATAAAAATGTTGAAACTTCCCGTTTCTTCAGTTTCTTGTTAGAATTTGTGGATTTTAAATAGCCTTGTTGTGTTAATTTTAAATAATTTTGTACTCTTCGAAATGCAATTATATTTTACACCCATTTTTCGGATGTCTACTACTTAATATTGTCTACATTTCATTCGGCAATGAAGTGACTTAAGCAGCAATCGTCTTTTTACATAAATTTAAGATACATGTAATTATTTGCGCTTTTAGGAGGAGCTACCGTGGAATCGAAAGGAAGAATACCATCGCCCGACGACGCCGATTGACGGATGTACGACCTACGGACTGAGTTACTGGCCCCACTGTGGCGAAAAGCCTCCGGTACCTTACAGCCACGATGAGACCGAAAACTTGTTGAACGCCGGCTGCTGCTTCGACGACAATACCACGTACCGGCTCAGCTATTTCGGGTGTGGCGGTGACAAGCCGCCGGGTCCCATTCGCCAGCCTGGCAACATGATTTTCTCGCCGTGTCCGCTCTCCCACGACACCGTCAATCGGGTGAGCAAACGCCGAGTCGTACCTTCACGGTGAATTCGACTCGAGGATGATACACTAATTCGGGTCGATAGTTACACTCTCGAGTGCATTATGCGGCGGTTACGAGGCAATTTTCTCAAATTGCCTAACAATCGTTGCGTCGCCTCGCAGATTGATTCGATAGTCTTCTTTCTATCAAGCCATAACGCTATTGTAGCGAATTGAGACAACAATGACTATTCCCTTAAAGATCGAGGACGTCGGCTGGCTTCGTCGTTTCAACATCGCACGTCGAGATGAGACAATCGCTATTAAACGCGAAAATTTATTACGGCTCAAATCATACGAGTATTTTCCAGATAATAGGCTTGAGTCTAAATCAACGTTCCAGATTTCGTTAATTTCACATCGTTTGCAGTTGAGTTTCCTGGGCAACTGGTGCGTCAAACCGGAACCGTCTATCACGCCTTGCGACAGACAGTTGTTGGGCAGAGGACCGATGGATGATGAAACTACGCAAAAACACGACTACACGTGGAAACGCGTGATGCCGCCGACCGAGCTTCGACCCGAGAACAATCTCACTTTCTCGCCCTCGCCGCTGGAATGTAAGTATTTAGCCGCGCGCAAAGTAATATCGCCATAAGTTGCATATTTGACATTTTTACAATCGCATTAGTCGGCCAGAGAAAGTATTATTTCTTCATCAGAAAGAAAGAAACGAAAGCACGTTCCTTCTTTGAGAAAGAAATCTCAGACGCCCGTCTGATTATCCCGTTTGCGATTTTCTAACGTACGATTCTAACATATGATCATTGCAGCCTGCACGACCCATAGATTGTCTTATATACCGAACGATCACGAATGCCTGCCGCCTATTAAATCGTACGCGCCCATACGCAAGTACCAGCCGACCGACGTTCCGATGGAATCCGAGACGACGATGCGACTGAGTTATCAACCGGTGGAGCCGGCGGTTCAGGCCGAGAAATCATGGGCTGCAGCTACGCCCTATTATTCACCCGTCAATCCCATGGAGGACAATACCACGTACAATCTAAGGTTCGAGCCTCGCTCTTTACCCGGTTGTTTAGCAATTTAGAATCTCGTCTCTGCGCGCCCCGCGAACTTAAAATTTATACACCAATATCTTCTTTGACAGCTATATACCGCCTGGAACGCTCGTCCCACTGCCACCTTGTTCCGCTTCCTGTCCGCCTGTCAACACTTACGGAAGTAAATCTTTGAGAAATTCTCCATTCCCTTGACATTATCTTTTTCACGCTGAACGATGACGCGTATGTGTACGATTACATTATCATTACGTTTTAGTACCGTCGCGGCAACCTTGCCCTGCATCGTGAACAGGTAAACAAGGTGTGTGCGAAACGATAATTATCGTTTATATTGCACAGTGTAGTAACTCTAATATGTTAACATATGTATTTATCTCTTCTCCTTACGATATTTTGCAGAAGTCACGCGAGCAGGCGCGGATGCGAGCGCTTGTGATGTCCCGATCATGTACGCTGTTCCGATAATAAAATGTCCTTGTGCACCGCGACTTTTCAATACTGTGTTAATCCGCGCGAAAGATCAGTAAACGGTTAAAGCAATTTCACAATCGCACCTCCACGGTTATCGTAATCGCGTTTCAGCCGGGATGTGCAAAACCTTTTTCTCTCTCGCTCAACTGCCGCGTAATGAAGCAATAATTACACAATGAGGTGGTACATTTAATGTACACCTCATTCGATGTAACGGCGAATTACCGCTACGTAACTGCCCTGGCATTAAGTATTATGTATAACGATTACATCACAGCTGACATTCTGCGATAATCGATGATCGGTTCATCCGCGGTCGTGTCTTTACGCGGGGGACGCGCTGACGAGCGCGTGCGGAAAGCAAGCGTTATAGCATCGGCTCGCGTTCCACGTACATAATATTCGAGAGATGCCTCTAGGCGTAAGAAATTTCATGTCGCTTCGGAAGTCAGCGGCTCCTTGCCGACTTTGCGTGAAAGTAGTTAGCGTATCTATCCGTTTGCGTAACAATCTCGGGGTGTCTTCCTTACACGCCTTCGAACAACGGCGCGCGGAGACGCTAGGAGAAGGCATACCAAGTCTGCTGTGTAAATAGTTGAACTTTATTAAGAGAAATTAATTCCTCGACAGTTGCGTAGTGCGAAACTTGGATAATGCACACGACGTTGCGGTGTGTACGACTTTTCGCGTTTGAATGGCTTGCTCTCCCAATTATTCATTTATGCGCGTGACTAATCTAACCGGCTCTACTTTCGCCAAGTTTCATCTCCGCGGCAAAATCGCGATTGATTAAGCGCCGAAGTGAAGTGCTCGGTGTTGATTATTTTTTTAATACGTAAATGTACAAATTTATCATCGCGCGCGTACATTCGTGTGCAACTGCCGGGATTGAAGGTACTTCCGTAAATATTAGTTGAATTTATTCCCGACCGTTCTTGAGGTAATTTGCAAATTTTGCGCGGAAAAGTAATGTGATATTATTTAAGTCGCGAAAATCCTCATCCTCTTGGTTTTCTTAATAACGTGGAAAGAAACGCGGGAGAGCAATCCGAAGGCCACGCAAGAACAAACGTATTGCGCTAATCGGAAGAGCAGTCCCCGGCTATTGATCGTGGGCTGTTGCGATGGCATTATTACGCGCATTCTGATGCATATGTAAGTATGCATATTACAGTGTGTTCCTCGCCTATTGTTTTGCTGGTCTCATAATTCGTAAAACTGCGAAACTACGTGGACCCAAATAGAGGGCCCGACTTGGCGAAACGATATGAAAGTTTCGAATCATCTACAGATGATTTTTGCGGGCTCGAAAGAAAACTGAATTCACAAAATACTTGATGCGCGTTTTAATATTATGCGAAAATTATTATTCAACGTTACGTACACTCGTTCACAGAATTATAGATATGGCGAATTACCGCGAATCTATTGCGAAGCACAGTAATATCTTAGATCAACGAGGCGATATAAGCTCATTAGTTACGGATTGATTAATTAGTACACTTGAACCTGATTTGATTGGTTTTATCAGACGTAAAATCAAGCGCGACAAATTTTTACAAACAATGGCATAATCATTAGAAAGCTGCTGAAAGAACGATGGAGTTTCAGTCAAGACTAAGGTCATGCACGGTGTTGCGATAATCGGAGCAAGATACCTCTCGGCATCGGGATCTCAGGGTGGTCTCGACACGAACGCTTACGAAGGAAGCGACTATCCCACACACGCATTTACTCCGGCAGATATGTAGGCTCTTTGCCATAAAGCATACGAAGCATCTTTCGAAGCCCATCGCCTCCTCCGAGTAGGGATAAAGTGAGAGTCGGTATAAAAGGGGATTTCTTTCCTCTCTTGGGATCGCAGTCGATCTTGTTCGTTTGCGGCTATCTCCGTGCGTTTGCCACCAAACTCCCGTCACACATTCACGTCGATCCGTCTAGACGAGGTGCACGACTCGTGAGTCAGGATGAAATACGTGGTAAGTAATCGCGAGGGGTGTTGTCTGTCGAAACGTCAATTAAGCGCGACATAACTCTCTGCTTGTTCGGGGTTGAAAGATTTCTTGACCGTTTTCCTCGCAAAAAAAGATACGTCAATAATTTATTTAACTGACGTTAAATAACTTTTCCCGTATTAATAGCTTTTTATCTTTTTAATTGCAGTTTCGAGAAAAGAGAGAATCTGTATTAAAATAAAGTTAATTGAAAATAAATCGTAGTTTTCAGAAATTTATTTAATTTTTATTTTTGTCGTTTTATTATTATTCATTAAACTTGATGAAATTTATTGAACCCAAAACAGGCAAAGAATAGAGAAATCTTTTGTTATAACATTTAATTAAAAGAATTGTCTGACGAAAGATGGTAGCGAAAAACGTGACCCTTGTAGAATCTTAAGAAGCCACCATTGTCACTGAGGCATTGCGACACACAACCTGCATTTATTAATTTATATGCGTGAGATGCACCGTTGAAGTGACGAAACAAGAACTGCGTGGGATTAAAATCCTGAAGCTTTACATAATCCAGAGGCTGACACGAGTTCATACTTTACTTTTTAGACAGAGAGAAAGAGAGAGGATATTTAAGCACATCTACAATATAATTTTCGTTAAAGATACATTAATTAATCTTGTCCGTGCATGTTATATTAGAATTATTTTTTTTTCCGCTTTTTAAAACTTTATTAAGCTTTACGATCAATCATTTTGAGAGCCGATCATAAAATTAGAAAAATTTTTTAGAAATAATAGCACCGCTATAAAAATTAATACATAATTAGATTGATAGACGAACGAGCAGCAACGGGACAAGCAACGCGATATCAAAGAGTAATGTAGAAGGGGTTCACGGTAGGTTGGGATGAAATGGGACGGGCCCAACTGTGCGAGTTTGCGGGTCAGGAGTTAAATGACCCGCGTTGGCATTTGCTTCTCACTTTCACTCATCTCCTGAGAGCGCATCGCCCGATTTCGTAGCAGTGAAACCGATAAATCCACTTTGGGATTCGTGTTACACTCTTCCGCGTCTATTCTCATCGATCATTTTACCTGTTGATCTAGTCCCAGGGTGCCGATTAGAAAGGGAACAAATTGATGTAATCCAAATCTTATGATATAACACTTAATGACGTACACACGTGTGTTTTGTAATCGCATTTTGAAACACGCGTTTTCCCGAGATGTATCTCGATCGCGCATTCACTAATCAGGAAAACTAACATAACGTAATTTTCCAGGTGTTAGCAATGATTCTGGGATTGGCGGTGGCGCAAGATCCAAATTACCATGGACGCAACTACCAGCAGGATGATGGACAACATCAGGGTGACAACAGACGACCTTTAAGCACTACGCCCATCCCAATCTTGCATTGGAACAAGCAACAGGAACATGACGGGACCTACAAGATAGGGTAATCATACATATTTTCTATACAATTTAAAAAAAAAAAGAAGATAGTTCCTTAAATTATCTCAGTGCCAAAGCTAATTATATTTATTGGTACAAAAATGTTGAAGCGACGAATACTCTAGTACTATGTACATATGTAGTATTTCAGATATTAAGAGAAAATCTTTTCTGATCTTACATCACGCGCGCCAAAGAATTTCTCTCGCTACCGATTCAACTCATATCTCAAACTCTATATTATCGTGTCACCTGCTGAAATCTTCGTCACGCAAATCCCACGTAATTCGGTCCCGAAAGTTACCGACGCATTACCGGACCGCGGTACCTGGTGCCTCGAATCCGTGCGAAATTCGCCAGCGCGCATTTTAGCATTACGTAACGCTGATCGATCGGCTTTCTGGGCCGTCCGTTTTTTTTTTTGCGCAATTTTGATTATTTAACACCCCGGGCCATTTGAACCCCGCAGTTACGAAACGGGCAACAATATCATCGCCGAGGAAAGCGGCTACATCAAGACCATCGGCGAAGGTGAAGACCGGGCGGAGGCGATCGTGCAGCAAGGCACCTTCTCGTACACGAGTCCCGAGGGACAGCTGATCACCATTCACTACACCGCCGACGAGACCGGCTTTCACGCGCAGGGCGATCACATTCCCACGCCACCGCCCGTTAGCGAGGAGATCCAGAAAGGCCTCGACCTCATCTACGCGGGTATTCGTCAGCAAGAGGTAAGTATACTCACGACCTTTCCTGTTCCGTCCAACCCCTATTACGCTCTCGCTACGATTACTTTTATAGGAGTTGCACCACTCGATTCCATGAAATTCCACACTATAGCTATCTAATTAACGGTGCTTCAGTAAAGTGCTTTTACTTGCAAAATGTTAGTCAAAGGTAGAATCTATACGAGGGTCGTTCGAAAATAGATTTAATTCATCGTAGCATTGGCAGGTAAAATTAAGAAATTATTATTACAATGCAATAATATTAATTGGAGTTGATTGCCTGAAATAAATCACCCACACTAGTATCGCAACATTTTATAACACATGTCAAAATTCTATTAAAGTAATATTCGAGATTACACGATTTTATTGAATATGAAAGTGTTGAAAGAGCAGATTCATTCAGGATTTACGTGACGGCGTAACACCATGTAAAATTTTACTACTTCATTGCACATTGCAGTCCATTCACAATTTTCTGTCCTCGATTATCCCCACTTATTCCTCTCCTCCTCTCTCATCTCTCTTCTTATCACCTCTGTTCGCGTCCATGCTCACCTTTATGGAAACGTTCTCCGCGATCTTATGGGCAGGACTTCTGTTTCGCCACAGCTAGCATAGGTCACGGTTTCCAAGCAGGGTTTGCGAAAAGCCATTCAGTTATCTACATACGAGTGCACTTGCGAAATCGTGATAGCGATCCCTATCGATGCAAAGGCTAGAGACCGCTATATGGTATGAATGACCTGCGCGAAGTGAGGGAAGAAGGTAGCTACTCTCGTGCCATTTCCTTTCAACTCTTGTTAATCATTATGTCGGTTCTCAACAGCTACCGGTTCTCTTCCTTAACTCATCGAAAACCACGCTCTTATCTACGCGCCGCAGAAAATACAACATCGACGGAGATACGTGCTTATCCGCATCTAATTAAAATTGCTACGTTAGACACCGATAGCTAGTAATCACTTTACCGCCATCAAATGAGTTCGTTGATCCTACATTAAAATCTTATTACAAATGCGAATAGCAAATCTTTGAATAAAATTTCGAAATGAAAAAAAGAAAGTTTGACTTGAAAACAAAGATACACAGAATTGTTTTCTAGAAACGCGAAATCCTCTCCTAGAATGACAGACAGTAACAGTAGATTTAACGCTTGACGCTTGCTTGATCGAGCTGGCGTTACTTCCGGCAAAGAAAAAAATATTCTTCTTCCACTAAAAAGACACATTTCTTTTTAACCCCCTAAAACTAATCAATATCATCAAAATCTGATTTATAGTAGCCAATTTTATTAGCGAGAACGGTTTGTAAAGATTCGGTACGTTGATCTTTTTAGGAGGAAGACGCTCGCGCAGCAGCCCAAAAGCCACAGCAGCCACTGAGCCAGCAGGTCGACAGGCGGGATGAATACAACAGAAAGTATCAATAGCAAGCCCACCCCCCGTCGATGCTTGAGCGATTCGCAGCACTGTACCGTTATTAAGAAATAGCCATTAAGTTGTTAAGTTACTTTATCTTCTCGCGCCCCAAATACACTTTCCATTCTATAAACATTTGTAGTAAGAAACAACGCTTGGTAAGTTCGACTTCGCTCTTTCATCCTTCCACCGTTGACCATGTCGATCCTTTCTCAACGTGAGATCCTGGCATTCGTATATGGCACCATTAATGATTTATCTCCTACTATCTCTCTGTACCGGCGCGGCGCCGCCACCGCCGCCGCGTAATTGTGCTCTTCGGTGGGAACTGACATTTCTTGTGTCGCGATAGAGAAAAATGTCACGGGATTAAATCGCACCCAGCGAACTGATCTACTCGTGATCGAGTCTACGTCCATTCATGGCGCTATCACCTTTATACCTCGCCGTAGAACATTTCTGTATTTAGTGCGAGAACCTAGAACTTTGATGCAATTATTCGATAGCCTTTTTTTATATATATACATATAATACTCTTCTCTCTATATGTGTACTTAGGAGAAGCATTTTTTTTTCTTCTCTTAGAGCATCCGTATTTTTAATATTTTAACTGTGTTAATTTTTTCGCACAGCACTTTTGTACGACACGATTTATTTAATTTTTAGTTATTTCTCATTTCTGAATTATCGTAGAAAGAAAAAAGTATTATTTATGAAAGGAAAAAGTATAATTTCAATAGATGTTTATTAGGTATATGTGCCGTGTGCAACAGCAATAAAAACGGGAAATGAGAATGTAGCGGCGAAAGGAATCAAATTATTCGTTGCCCGAATAAGCACGTCGACTTCTTACCGTCACCGATTACATACATCAACGAGCGTGTATTCTCATGCGTGTATAAATCTATATGCGAGCATGCAGATACTCAATAAATCTTCCGTGGAATGAAGAATTATCACGGCCTACAAACGCCGAGAGATCTGCGTTCGGGCTTGGCCGGGGGGAAGAAAATATAGGATAGACGTGTGTTTAACGGAGCGAAGCGTCTTTATTGTTAGTCTCGAGTACATAGAAATCTATAAGGGCATCAGTCTTCGTTCTCGGAGAGGAAAGAAAGAGAGCGCACTCTCCGAGGCCGGTGAAACTTTTCACGAGGTAGCGCGTCAAGGCCGGTGAAACTTTGAATTGAGGTACGATAATCGGATAAGCGGACGCCGACGCTCCTGAATGCACGTCGCACTGATTACGCGATATGGGATCACCGATAATACCGTCCCTCGCAATCCAAGCATTGCTACAAATAACGAAACGCTTAAGAACATTGACAGCATTTGGAAATAATTACGGGAAATTTGTGGATCTGTAAGACGAGATTAAAATAGATTTTAGATGAATTTACGACAATGTTACTTTGTGTATACCGTCAAAATTGCTATATGAAAAATATATACTATCAGAGCCTAGTCAGACTCGATGAGAAACTTCTCTTTAGCTTGTGGCAGCAGAAAGCCCATTCTACATAAAATGAGTTTCAATCTGATAACCCCTATACAACTCATTAATATTTAACGTTTAATTTCAACATTGTATCATATTAACATTTTTATGTATTTTAAAATATGGGATACGCACGATTAAAGCTGCACATACCGGATCAAATGTTACTAAAAGTGTTAAATTGTTATCAGGAACGCTGATTCATTCGGAACTAGATACATATGTCTCAAATGCAAATGCTTGTATTGCTTAAAGTTGCACGTGAACATAACTGTACGACTTCTATATTAAAAATCCCGTGTCGAATTCCGATGAAATAATTAAAGTGGCCAAACTTCTGGCCATTTTTTTTTTAAATATCTACCATAATATTTCTGGTGAAACAACAATTCGGTGTTAAATAGAATTTTATTTGCCTGCTGCTTTCGTGTAAACTATCTGATATCACATGTTTAACATTTTACGCTCGAGCGATCGTCCGCTTTCACATTTATTTGCAAAATAAGTTAAGCATAAAACGATATTCCTTACGCACAGATCGTATCTCTTGTCTCTACGCGGACAGTTGCAATGTCATTCGCGGGGGAGGGGGCGGGGAAGGGGGAGGGAGGGGGGGACTTTAATCCGAAAATCGCAATTGACTTAGGCGCACAGTGCATAACGGCACGGTTCTCATCGCCATAAAAGAACGGAAAGTGCGCAGTGTATCCGCTTTTACTTAACAATCAGCACCATTGTCGCGACGTAACGAGGTTTAACTTAACGATTAACTAACGCTACGCGGCCCCCTTCGTCTTTTGGCACGAGCGGATAGCCTTCCGGTATGCCGCGAGAAATTAGTACGCGAAAAGTATCCGCGGACGCGCATTATAAACTAGGAAGGAAAACTACTACTATTAGCGTCAGCAGAATCGGCGATAGAAAGCTATTAAGATTTCCGGATCTGCGGCTCACGCTGAATTAACCCCGCAGCGTACAACAATGCATGCTTGCATAATCAAGCGTTTCTCGCGCACTAAAGATTTTTAAGACGCGATTATTCGGCGCGATATAAATCACCAGCGCGCCCCACAGTATGACAAAATATTGATATCTCGCTGATAGAGCGTCGCTAGCAAATAAAAAAGAAAATAAATTGTACACTGCAGGGTCAATGTCCGATCCGCTCGCGCCAAAATGTTGGCCGTTCTATTTTGATTCGATAGGTGGGATTCTTCTTTGTCGTAGATCACTGTTCGCCAGATAGAAGAAGATTGTAGAGAAAGAAGTGACGGAAAATCCCGAAACTTCCAATTATAATCCAAGCAATTAGTTCGAATACATGTTTTCTAAAAAACAATGTTGCTACCAAGAGAGAAAGGAAATTGAGCTTCGATTACGATCTCAAACGAAAATGTTTTCCGAAGTATCTCTGTGCGAAAATAGATTACCGAAAGAACTTTACACGCAAAGACAATGGCGGCCGGGAGTCTTCGCACGTTTCATAGATCGGTGACGCAACTGGAAAGATTGGCGAACATTGTCCGACGCGTTTTACAATTTTCTTCTTTTTTTTTTTCAAGGAAGTCCCACCGCGCTTCCCTGAAAATTGCGTTGTAGTCCAGCATGGCATCTAGCGTTGTCTCTTCGCGGTATCCGATCATCCGCTCGCGATAATAACAGAACAAAGGCAGGACGACGAATCAGGAAGCCACCGCCACGGTTCTCGATGACGAAAAGTCATTGTGTTAATCTCGCGTAATCCTTATCTCTTCTCCGTTGGAGCGCCTTCTTATCCGCTGCATTTCGATCGTCTCCTGATTCAATCGACCCTCGTTCCTCGTAACGTTATATCATCTCGGATAATACTGGGAACCATGTTGACGGTGCTGACACAACGGAGAGTCGTACATCAGAAATCAGTCGTGGCACTTGGAGAAACGTTATATCTATATATTATATAAGCAACGTTGGTGATCGAGAATCCCGGCCGGGGAATCTTCATCCTTCCTCCGCGGAATATGGAGCATCTCTACATTGGCGAGACCACTATTCTATTCACCATTGTTCTTCCCCTCTCTCACATTTCTCCATTCCGGGGCGGAAAATTCATGATCAGCCGCGATTGCTTGAGAGAACATCGGTAACGGGCGGCAGTTCGATTCGACGAGCGGTCTCGCTATCGAGACCATCGAGTCGAACCAAGGCCGTCCGGCGTAGCGAAATCCAGCGTCGACGCGGTATCGGATGATGTGCTCTTCGCGATAAAACGTGATGCTACAACGTGGCAAAGCGGATGAACAATGACGGAACTGTTACGAGGCGCTCGTTGGGGGAGCCCTCGAGAGCCGCGTCCTGGACAGATCAGGCGGAAGCGGGTCGTAGGGCGTCGCGTTGAAGCCGACGTATCGGTTGTTCTTCTTGTGGAGGAATCCGCCGGTGAACGGATCCGTCTTGTAATAAATCACCCGTCTGATGCCGAACGGATCGATGTAGCCGAACGAGCCGACGTTGCCGTCGGGCTCCCGCTCTTCCTCGTGGTACTGCCTCCTTAAATAATACTGGAATCCGTTCGCCGTGCTGTGAGTGCCGTCGTACGGCGGAAGATCGCCCGGGTCGTTTCGGGAAATGGGCGACTGATAGCTCGGCCTGACGGAGGAACCGCCGATAGCAGGGTCGTAAGGAGCTTCGAGAATCTGGGTCGGCGGTCGAGCTGTAGAACCGCGATAGTACGTAGCTTGCGGTCGATAATAGGTGTCCAGGCTCTGGAGTCCAGATGGGGAGTATCGACTCGAGTAATAATTGTTCCGTAAAATCGGCCGGGGTCTGATGGTCGTCGGAGTATAATAACCGGAAGTGATGTCGTTGCCGGACAATGGCACGACGGCATTAGGATCCGGTCGTCTGTAACGAATGGTTGAAGACTCTTTACAAATTTCTGTAGTGGATATTACATTTTTTTAAAGCTGATTTTTAACGTGTATATTTTAGTCTCTTTCTGTCAGTTTATAACACATTGACTTTCCGACTTCTCGACCGCTCTTTACCTGAAGGGATTAGGTGGCCTTTTGGGTCTGGCTAAGACTCCAGTCTGCGCCGGGACCTTCTTTGTTTCCGCCACCGCGTCTTGAATGGGTCGATCCTTGCCCACGTAAACCATCTTTGACCTGAAAGGATTTCAGCGATAAACTCGTCACTCGGCACTTAATTACCGGTTATTGGTTTCTAATTTTGGTTAAGCCCCGGCGTTGTTTCGAATATTAATTTTGTCATTAATTCTATGGTCAGATTACCTTAGTATTCGGAATCCCTCGTGGTCGGCGATGTAGTCCTTCAATCGTAAATATCCGAGAGGGTCTAACCAGCCTTCGGTGCCAATCACCGTGCCATCAGCCAATCTCTTCTCTTTCCTATACTGGCCGTTCGCTGTTTGAAAGCGAAAGAATCTCTCCGGACCCTCATCGGTCTGAATGTGATATTGTGTATTGGGATTTAGGTTCCAGCCGCTTCTCTGGGCCTCGATCTCGTCCGCTGTCAGACACAGCGCCGAAACCTGCAATGTAAACCTACTTAAATCGTTTTTCCGCGTCGCGTTAACCGCGTCAATCATTATTGCTTAATATGGAAAATACGACATGGGAAATAAAATACTGAGTATCTTGTTTAAATTTTAAAAAATCTTCAAGATGTCTTTTAGACATGCGTAGACATGTTTGGGCAGTTCGATAAGCCTTAAATGAGAGATCAAGTCAATTAACATTTATAACTCTGTTATAAATAAAAGGCGAAGAATCGATTAGAAATTAAAATATGCGTAGAGGATAAATTTGCTTCTTGTTTCTCGCATTCTTAAAATACATACAGAAATCGTCACGTTTTGGATAGAAGATCTAAGATAAAAATAGAATTTTGCCTGAAAAGACTGTGCGAAAGAAAAATGGAATATTTAACGTACACAGTTGGAAAATTTGTGTTTTCTTGTTAAAAGAAATGCCCGTTAAAATTTTTGTGTTAAATGGTTAACACATTCATGTGTTAATTTAACAGATTGCTCTTATGTTAATTGACCTTAAATGTAAAGTTATTAAAATAACTGAAAAGAAATGTTAAAACAACACAATGTTTACTTATTTTGTAATCTTACACAATACATATGTTCTATATTATTAGTAACAAGATTTATCTGTTAAAATTTACAGAATGAAATGTTGATTTTATTCTATATAACATAAGAGAGTGATCTCGGACCATTTTGGCTTATTACATCTGGACCTGGATAGATCAGTTGGAAGAGCACTCGCCTGGCAAGCTGAAGGTCCTAGGTTCGAATCCTAGCCCGTTACTTTTCTCGCCGAAAAATAAGTGGCGTGTCTTATTGTTAGTGCCTACCTCCCCGAAGATACATTCCTGTTTATTATGAAATGTAAAAATTACATTTTTTAAATTCATTTTGTCATTAAAAAAATATGTTAAGTTTACACAAAATTTATGTTAAATGATTTTGAGATTTGCATTTATTTTGTGTTAAAATATTAACAGACTATTAGTGTGATCCTTTAACATATCCAGATTAACATATCCAGATTAAATTAACACAAAAATTTGTGTGGACCGTTTGGGACATGTGGTATCTGTTAAATTTAACACAAATTTTTCAACTGTGTAGTATTGTTATAAAAGAAATATAATTATTAATTTAATAAAGTAACATCCAACTCTTCATTCTAGCCAGCTGTCATCACGACTCCAATTACGAGCAAGAGGATAGGTATTTACGATCTACAGGCACGTACGCAAATTTCAAGTTGCCGGCCGATAACAAGAACACACACCGTGACAAGGTACGTGACCAGCTACGTGGGGTGTTCCTCGGCTAAAGGATTAGTCAGCATCGTTTCTCGGACTACGAGGCCTGTCTCTTTTCTTCTTTGCGATCTATACGGCTGCTCGTAGGCGCGGCGACGTATACTCCGCTTCGCCGGTCAATCGTAATCACTCCATTTACGGCGTTATGACCCGAAGACGACGAACGGCCCGCCTCGAGCGTGGCTTCGAACCAGCCAAGCTCGAGACGGCGGTACTTTATTTCGCCGAATTTTTTGCGGCGTCCGATAGTATTTCAGGCTCCGGTCATTTACGAGCATATATTACCGTCGCGATGGATGGATGGTGTTGCAATCATTAAAATACAATTGCAGTATCTGAATTCCAGTTGCACGAATTCAGGTTGTGGCTTTGTGCGAAAACGCTGCTGCGTATCGCACGCAGTGTTGTGCATAGATGATTTTAAACTTAGCTAGATAAAGATAAGATAAAAATATATAAATTTATCTTAGATAAGATAAAGATGATTTCGTTTTGAATATATCTAGATAAAAGATAAAATTATATGATGATTCATCTAGATAATTTTCAGATAATATTTTTAAGACTTCATGTAAACGCAGTAGAAAAAGTTATGAAAAAATTAAAGAAAAATATAAATTATAAAGGGGGATATAGAATATAATTCAGGTTAAGTTATATGACACACACATAAATGCATGGTCTACAGCGCCATCCATATTTAAATAGTGTAACTGTTAAGTATTTTTATGTGGCCCTAAACCAAATTATCTGTACGTTATCTTAGATAATTTAGTAAAGATAACACTTTCTTTTATCTAAGATGCAGATATAGATAATACTTTTTTTAAAATCTATATAAAGATAAGATGACACTAAAATTTTATCTAGATAATCATCTATGTAATTTTATTTAGATAACAGCAAACACTGATCACACGCATAGGCATATGCTTAAGAAACCGCGTCTCATCTTGTTGATTTCTTCATTATTCTCATTGAGCTCACGGTTGTTTTCAAGAGCATTTATATACGCGGCAAAACGAAGACTTCTTGCGGCGAATTTTTCACAGGCGGGAACACGTGGCAATGAACTATGATTTTTCATCGCAAGAAAAGATCGATCGATTATATTACAATTTATAATATATAAGTGTCAGTCTACAACGTCGAGTCGAACGATCCTTCTTCATAACTGGACTCGCAACTTCGTAATAATAATTAAAATCGTAAGCATCGCTACGTCATGTTTACGTGCAATCGAGTTCACGCGTAAACGAGGTTTCCGTGTGAATGAAATCACGTTCCGCTCTTCCTCGTTATCGGCACAAAAAAAACCCCGGGATCCGCAGGCTAATCCATGATTCATGATTACTCGCGCCTCGGAAATGCATAGAAAGTTAATAAAAAAAGAAGTCGGAAACACAACGAAACTTACGAAGCGATATCCTCGATCTGAGTCTGTATTCGTCGTTTAGCCGGAATACATTATAATGTACCACAATAATTCCGACCACGCGGGGAATGCGGTGCTTTCCATCGCGGTATCTTTCATAGCGGGGTACCATTGCGCACAAACACGGCGGTCACGTAAGAGATACTTATCCCTTCTATTGCGGATTTTGCGTGGGATTGACCAAGACCACGAGGTCCGCCTCTCGTCGGTCCATATTAAGAGATGCTGGACCGACCGAGCATTAGGGCCGACGTATTGACGCAGCGAAAATTTTCTCGCGAAATAATAACGTCTTTCGGTGAAATGGCGAGAGGGTGACGTTTCCCTCCATAAATTGAAAACAAACTGTCAGCCAGGCTCCTCAATATATAAAATAGCTGCGTAAAAATGTATACGAGAAGAGGACGGGATACGAAGAGAGGCACAGAAATATTTGTAGCCGTGCACTGGGGACAGGGGGAGATTAAATTTCCCTTAAGCAGTATACTCAGCTCCAGGAATTACATGGCGAGTGAAGTTTTGTTTTATGGGACACGACACGTGGGGTCAAGGCACGCCACAGCTGACCTTGGACCTCTCCATGTATCGCACGTGCGCTTAATATCCATCACGTTGCTGCATCTCGTTGCCGGGAAGAATTCACACTCGGGATTGCTTCGGTATCCTTGAAACTGGTTCACTACGTGTTATCGCTGCGAGGCACTTTGACTTGAGAAATGGTCGCGTTGTAGGAGTCGGACTCAATGTTAGGTTGATATCCTTGAAACGTATCGACCTCGCGGCTTTGTTTCCACGTATGAAATACGTTCTGTTAAAATATCTAAGCATTTACATGAAGCTGACTATCTAACGTTCTATTTATAGACGTAAGACTCTTCAAGGGATGCTCGATACGTAGTTACCCTGTAGTTTGGAGAACGAGAGGGGCTCATAAAAAGTAAGCCCCGCCGTCTTTCATGACATAATCTATACGGTTTCTAGGGTGAAGGCTTTTTCTTTCCGGCAGTCGCAATTCGCTCTCGTTCTTCCGAGAACCATTGGATACTTTTTCTCCCTTCCGTCTCTATCAAAATTATAGTGCTCGCAAGCAAGTATTAATTTCCTCCCGAGCGGACATTTTTTCTTTTTCGAAGACGTCAAAGTGGAAGATGGGATACGTCATATCTTCAGTCAACGAGAGACATTGATGAGTTGCCTAGTTCTATAAACGCAAAATCCCGTACTAATCCCGCGAAAGTAACGCAAAATATGTATGTTATTCATGTGCACGTATAGAGTAAAAACGCGTTATTCATTATCGCTCAGTAATTTTAAGCAAAGATTGAAACCGGTCGTGTCTGTAAGCATTAATTAAAGTTAACTGAAGTTTAACTGATTCTCTCTTTCTCTCCCTCGCCTCGTTCTCTCTCTCTATCTATATATATCTCCCTGTTTCTTTTTAAATGCACGAAGACCCAGCATGAGAAAGTACTTTAATATCTTAAGACGAGAGCAACGAGTCCCCTCGCTCGAAACTTACCGCAGTCAAAGAGTTATTTTGCGGATAATTACGAAGCCAAGCTGGGACCATAAACAATCGAGACATGGGATAAATTGCGTTAAGTATCAAGGACTCAACACGAATTTCATTCACGTCGCATAATAGCGCGCGATTCTCAGGAGCCTCGGTGTTCCCGACGCGTCTATAACCACGCCGTGCATCAATTTTCCATCCTCGAAGGAAAGCCGTCGTTTCGGCCGGCGGTTTTGTACGAGGTCGTCCAGCCGCGCGATTAACTCGCTAAATTATCATTGCACCGTCCATTGTCCGCCGACCGACTGCCGTCGGTCACGGTGATTTCACCTTTGCACAGGAGCCGCCGCGGCTCCTTTCGCTCGCTTCCGCCGTTCTCCATCCTCTCGCGCGATCTCCTCTCTCATTAAAAACACCCACGCTCCGCGCGGTGTTCTCACGTGCCTGATCACGTGATATAATCTGGGATTATAATGAAATTGCGCGCTCGGGAAATTGGCGACATTGGTAGCCGACAATGAATTCGGTGCTTGCAGGAAAAGGATATTGCTACGTTAATTGCGGAGGTAATTAGCTAGCAAGGAGGAGAAATTAACGAGATCCTCGGTCGATTGCTCTTGGGATTCATCTTGGACAATTAACTTGGCACTGACACATTTCTATCGCTTAATTGATCACGCAAATTTTCGAAGCTTAGTGCCCACGGTACTATGCAACGTCAAAGCGTGAATAGTATATGCATGCGTGAAAACAAATGGCACGCATTTAAATCACAAATATAAGACAAACATAAGATTAATTACTTACGACAAATATAAGATTAATGGAGTGGCTAATTATATATAGAATAAAGTGTTACAATTTCTACAATTTTTATTATACATATATTACTCTGTCACGCGGTATTAGTCTCCAAAATAAAAATCATTTCTGGTTTAGGTCCTTATCAAGTGTGCCAAATGTGGTTCCAATTTCATTTGACAAAACTTCGTAACAAGGTAGGCCGGCAATCATAAAGGCCTAAACCAAAGGCCGAAACGTCGTGAAAGCGTATTTAATAAATGTGGCCGGCTGAGCTCGATTGAAACTTGAAATTTTATTTATATTAATACGGGCAATCTCTGATGAAATATACCGTTTAAAAATGATTTCTTTTAGATTAAAAAAGAAGATTACTGAATTATTTTTAAATATTATTGTTCGTTCATTTGATATTATTGAGCACCGCCTTTTATTTCTTGGGCGTATCGTCGCCAGCAAGAATGCCTTTGAATCTCCGAAGCATATGCCTCGGGTCTGTAGCGCGCGAAGGCCTGCCATCATCGTCGGTGGCATCTTGCGGTGACCCAACCACATCGCATACAATCGTGATATTACGGATCATAATTGCAGATAGTGTCACACGAGGGAGATACGTGACAAATGCGCGATCTCGTTTGCGATCTCACTTGGTATTCGAGGAGCGTCGGCGTTTCATGAGCGCACGTCGCGGCCTTCGCACGAGCGCGCGCTAATTGATATTCGGCGTGCGTGATATTAATTGCTTTCGCGTAGCTTCGCTACGATATTTACGACACAAGGATATCGGTTCTCGTATCCCAATTCTTTTCAAATCTAAATACCTGCTCCTCGTGTACCAGCCACTTCCCTTTCGGTTTAGTAACTCATCGTGCACGCCAGAATTAGCGATACGTGTTCTAAACTGCGAGTTTGATATCCGAAGTTGTTTCACGTTACTATTTTACTTTCACTTCATTTCTTCTCGGTATTTACATTCAGCGTTTAAAGATGCGTGCTTCTAATTCCATTCAAATGCAAAGGCAGATTCTTATTTTGTTAGCGATTAACAATATATTTCAAACTCTGCCACTTTAATACTCTTTTAATTACTCAGCTTATTTAAATGACAATGACGTTGAATGATAATATTAGCCTATCTCGGTTAATCATAGTGTAGTATTGAAAAATACGCTGTGAGAATAATTAACAATAATAGGGGCGCATGCTAAATATTTTTATGATTGTTGCATTAAGAAAATATTGTCGTGCCAGGTAAAATAATTTTTCACTATACAATTATATTGTAATTAATATCTAGGATCTTGTTTTCTCACAGCCTTTTAATTAATGTTCATTAACAACGAAAATTATAAGAAAAGCCTTTATACCTTGACTTGACTTATTCTTTCACTTTCCTTGACTTAACAAGTGGCAATTATTTGGTTTCGTTCCCAGAAAATTCAATAGCTCTCCTAAGTAGGCCAATATTAACAATATGTACGTTTCGTCTTACTGCATATTTAGATATTGCCAATTCTTTGAACATTCTTGTACTAAACGAATCATACTTAAGACCTGACAGCCACGTTCGGCGCCAAGTGCGCGATAATGATTCGGCATTGAGTTTACAGTCGAGCGTTGTCAATTACTCTGGAAACAGAGCTGATCCTGATGATTGACGTGAATCTGGGCTGCATTGATAGTCACGCACGCGTTTTTATATTGCCCGATGGCACGGGAAGAAGAGAGAGAACGTCCTCATCTGTTACACTTCCATCCACGCGATCTTCACGGTACCGCGCGTTCGTGCATCGAACTCTCCCGGAGTAGGAATAGGAGCCCGGTGGCTCTTTCACGAGCGCATCCTCGACTTTCATGAACGCCTTCCACAAATCACGCCGGGTGTCAGTTTCGATCGAGCGATGACGTGAATATATGCGTGGCAGATTGTATTCGACGAGTGTGCGGAACAATCAGCGGTTTTACCGGCACGCAAATGCAGTTACGCAAATCATCCCGAGCCGTCACCGTTAAATGTATGCAAAGTATCGTACACTCCTTTGACAGACGTAAACACCTGCGGTTCGTAATCTAAAGCTATAATTGTTGTACGTGAAACGTGGGTTCGGGCAATTTCGTAAATTATCGTAAGGCCGTGTCGGAATCTCCCGTTCGATATTCGGCTTCTGAAATTCTTCAAAATATCTGTCAGATTCATTATTCAAAATGTCTGTTTTACAATTAGTCTCGTTTCTAGATTTTAATGTAGCTCTTCCGATGTTCATATGTTTCTAACGAGCATTTATAAATTCCCTCGATTTGCGCTCTCGTTAATTATACATACTCGTGCGAATATGGTAATCAATTCTTTTACGCGAATCTCTAGTTTCATTACCAATGTCAATACTGCTGTACAAAGTTCATCATTGCAATCATGAAAATAACAAGATTACGTAACGCGTAGCTGTTTCGCCGATTCATTTGCCAGTTACTATTGGATGACTTGAGAGACGGTAATCACCACCTTGCGACCGGCGCTTTACTCAATCGAGGATCTTGAAGTGACGTCGAGTCCCAATGTCAATGCCAATTAGTTAACAAAGTTGCACGTCTACGGGAAGGTCAACGCTTTCGGAAATATTTTCATCAATATCTTATATGCCAATGAACTTTTGCCTTGCCATCAGTTGCTGATTTAATTCACTCTGATTATCCTCTCGTAATCTAGATATGTATATGCGCGCTCATAAGTAGAAAAACAAAAAGCGCACAAGTTGCTCGCGGGATCGAATTAATTATTTTTAAGTTGGCTCCCGGTAAACGTGCAGTATATTAATATATTCTGAAATTAGTCGTAAATCTATATGTGTACTGCATACTCATAAATCCTACCGTCAAGAGATTGAGGCACAGACACGTTCGCAAAATCATGGTCACTGGTGCTTTGCAATACGCGTTCCTCGAGTTTCCTCTTCGTCGTTTTTGCAGCCGATCGCCGAGCCGAAACGTTCACTTACTCCTCGAGCAAAAGCCGCCCATTTACATACATTACAGTCTCCACTGCGATAACTGCACGAAGAAATTTCTCGATCAAAATAATCGAAACCTGGAACCCACATACAGGTATCTTCTTAATTATGATGCTAAATAACGAGACCGATCTTAATCTCCGGAGTGAAAGAAGGAAAGCAAGGCAAGTGCAGGATCGGCATTTAAAAGTTCACGAACGTCGAAAGAGACGAAGGGGGGGGGGGAGAGAAAAATCACCTACTTTCGCGGACCGGATGAGACTGCGGAAGAAGAGAAACGGAAGAGGATGTCGACGCGGACATCGGCTGCGCCGATGTCGTCGAGGCGGAGCGAGAGGACGCGATACTGTGACTGAGAACCGGCGGTGTCCCTGCATTTCCAGATCCGCCGTACACGACGGATCTACGCTCCTTCCCTCGCGACCATCCCCCTCCGTAGGAAGCCGCGAGACGGTTTTTCCCGGCGACCGAGACCGCGCCCGCCCACCATCGCGCGTACTCCACATTCGCGCGACGCGTGTTCCCGGACGGGCCTTATATATTATTAGCTTGTGGCACGCGTAATCGTTGCACGCGCCGCACGTGATCTCGCGGCGATCCTCTCGGATGACGTAAAGGGGTAGCGATTCGGTCCATATAAGCCCAGACCATCTTCTGCCAGGCATCTCTACGATTTGTCACAAGAAGAGTCTTTGTGGACGTAAATTCTTCGAAAAGTGAACTTCCCGATTTTTGCTGGAATATTAATGTATACGTGGTACGAAAGCCTCGACGTTGAAAAGTTATTTGAGAAAATATAAAGATACGTCGGAATAATATTCCTTTCACTTTGGACGAACTCTTATTTGTTAACAATATATCATTAGGAGAATCGAGAGTCTTGAATATTTAATTCGTCTCGCGTGATCGATAATTGTTTATATCCATACGTAATCGCCAGTCATAAAAAGCACGCGATCTTTGAGAGCAACATTGAGGAAGCTATAAACGGCAGAAAATTGCATTGTGAGAGTCGTAACTGTCGTTGAGCGATGCGAAAGATCGAGGTCTCGCGTAAGGTAGTGTTCAGGATGTATATTATGGGAAACCGTCACACCCCTTGATGTGCATAATCGATACTTGTGATACGAGCCTGTTTCTTAAGATGAAGCGTAGTAAAGGGTGTAACTCCACTGTAAAAAGAATAGTGCAAATGTAGGGAATGTTTCTTAAGATTCTTAAAACGTTGCTTCAGACTTCATTCGATTGAGAAATTTAGTAGCATGAAAAAAATATCATATGCATATTCATCTGATATTTTTGTACTATCGACAACTTAATATATTATAATATTATATATGTATATTATAATATTAATAACTTTTATGCAGTGTTTCAAGCTTCATTTACAAACGATAACATCTTTTTCATGAATAAAATGAATCTTAATTACGTCGATTACAACTCAAGGGTATATCATTCAGGATGCGTCAATCAACGGAGGATGCTTTACACGCATTTATCGATTATCGATTAAATTATGCGTTTCACACAGACTTTTAATATCGATTTGCGTACTTTTTTCTTCGGGAAACCGGAAAGACCTGTGCCACTTTTATTATCAACATTGCGTTAGATTCCCACAATGCGTATCCTTGATACAGCGATTCCCAGGACCTCGACGACAGTAGCCGGAAGGAACGTTGCAAGTTTATGTCATCTCGCACATTTGCGTCATCTTCGGGTCAGGCAATCGCCGTTCCGTAATCATCGTTCGCATTACCCGTAATCATCTGACGAAACGGACGCCGCCAACCTGACGTTCCTTTTAGTCACCGGAAGAATTGGTCATTTGCGTAAAAAAAACTGCCTCGTCTCATGTCGCCAGCTCGCGACACACATGGTGACGTACGTGTCGCGGCGTCTCTTCTTCGTGGAAATAATATGCATTAGGACTGAGAACAGCAGAATATTCATGCTTTTCCTATTTTGAGATACGTGGCAAAGAAAACGATTTTATATATCCATTACTTAAATATGCGGAAAAGTTATGTTCACTGTGAGAGTACAACGTTTTTGTCTAGAAAAGAAGATGTAACATTATCGGCTAATAATTATTATTCAATCATTTTTACGGTTAAATAATAATTTCATTCTCAAGTCTTTATGTCATATGAATTTTTCTAGTGGAATTTCAAGGTTTCTTTGTCGAGAACAGACCCTGCTTTTGCGTATACACGGCACATACCTATAAATTCAGCTCCTTTGTAATGACATGCTTTTTCAGCTAATGAATATCAAACGGATCATTCGGTCGAGAAAGCGTATAACTTGCAAAAACGGTTGCAAAGCGTTTTTTTTCTGCCGCCGATATACACAGAGATAGACGTTATCGCGTGCGCGGGCGCGGAGAGTCGCGCGATAGAGAGGTAAATGAAGTAAATGAAATTCTGTCTACGAAGTTATCGTCTTCTCGAGTATCGCCACGATCCGGATAAGTAATTTCCAGCGCAGCGTGAAATCCAGTTTTACTGCAGAGGCTTCGTTTCCTCGCGTTACCAGTGAACGACATCGCGTTTCCACGGTGGAGAAATGGTCGTGGACGACGAAAAATAAACAGCATCCAACGCTTCACGCTTTACAACGCCTTCGGCGCTCGTTACACTTACAATTTCATAAATATCGCGTGAAATCGAAAGTCCAGAGATAGCATATCTCGCGCGCCGAGAAAACTCTCAAGTATCAACGAGTACAGTGTGTGGGACGTGCAAAGATGTAACACACAAGAGAAATAATCGTCACGGTAGGAAAGTACATCGTTTTATCATAAATTGCGCAACTGCATTTGTTGATTATGTAATATTGCAAAATGGCGGGAGAAATCACTCACACATACAATACGAAAAGGAGTTTATAACAAGAACACTTCAGATGACTCCACTTTTAATTCGCAGTGGATGGCAAGAATGCCAAGAGAGGGACGTCATCGAACACGTTTCTCTCTTTCATCATCGATGAGTCGAAAACTACACTTCTATGTTCTATCACCTCTACTTCCTACTTTTAAAAACGTCGTGCTGGCAGGACAGAGAGCCGCTGATTGTGAGAGCGACGACAAGATCGCTCTCGCGATTGTCCGAGGCGCGTGGGAGTGCACCTCATTCGCGTCCCTTCGGAACAAAGGCTTGAAGAGAGCCACTCTGGTCTTTTGACCAGAACCTTTCCCTACGTTAGACAGTAAATTATTTTACGCAAACATTGCACAATTTCAAAGTCGTAAACGGAAACGTCGCGATAAAACGTTTTGAAACGCATGTAACTTTTGTATAGTTTCATCAAGTGAAATCATTTGGAAATTGAAAGAAGAACATCAATACCTAATACCTGATACAGGTATAATAATCTGTCTAATTTTAATCGGACTTTGATAGAAGTGTGATGTTTTACATTCCTTTACAAGTACCAAGATATCAACACAGGAGATCAAGAAATAGGTCATCCAGGAAGGATGACTTTGAATGAATTTACGACAAAGAGAGAGCGACTTGATTTCAGACCGATGGAAAAAAGTTGGTGAATGAAGTGAGTTACTCGCGATATCGAGATCATCTGCCACGCTCGTGGGATACACGACGGACGAACCCGACTCGGTCCCGGCGTTCTGCCTTCCATCTGACGCTCGAGCGAGCCTTACCGCGTATTTTCTCCTTCGCTTGTCGCGCTTACGACGCGGCGCTTTCACTTTTACGAGAGGAGAGCAGAGGCGGCGTGTCGAGTGGATTGGCGCCGTCGTGCGTATGCGTGTGCGTGTGCGACATTCGATCTTCGATAGCGAATTTTCGGGAGCTCCTTCTGGCGGCTCGAAAGCAATGCCGTAACATATCCTTGTACGTATAATAGATTGCGAAAACAATCCGCAGGCCCCTTTGTAACACATCAATTTGCAGAGATCAGTTGCATTTCCACCGTGCATTTATTGCTTTTGGAGTTAAATCTGTTTAGTGGAAAAATTCATTCAGTCAGGTCGTGCGTGTAAATTGTTGCGAAAACGATTTGTGACATTGGATATTGAACACCCGCTATCTTATATAATATTAGGGGCCTGTCTCATAATGGGGGACTGTCCTCTATATTAAACGTGAAAATCGTTTTCACGAATATTATTTTGTTTTGCCTTGTACTACTCTGTCTCGTATTCTACCTTTGAGAAATATCACGCGTCACGTTGAGCAATGTCTACAAGAAAATATTGATTTTCCCACGAAAATGTTAATTTTCTATCGTATCTCGTAATCGAAGTTGATATTGATGCAATAACCAACTGGTAAATTAGAATTACATGTTTAACAATTAAGAAGATCGCGTATCGCGCACACGCGATATTTACGGGGTGCGAAGCGCGCGATGGTGCGCGTACAAACGAACAGTTTTGCACTCCCGCACGCGATGCAACGACTCGCACAAAGGAGCGTCGTCGCGAAATTAAGTTCTCACGGTCGGTGTACGTAGACTTACACTCGGGAAAATTGATAAAATCACGCGCTCATATGATCTCGATGCGTATGAGCGATATTGTCTGACATTGCGCGTATCCGCCAGTCGACGCCCCCACGCTGCTGTATACTGTTTCCTCGTTTTGTCTCTTGATTCATTTCATTTTATCGTAAGGAACGTCGCCATTGCGCATTGGGAAACCCGCGGATGTTCTAATATAATAAAAAATACTTAAATTGGTGTTTTACACTCGCGTGCATAACAATTGGCACTAATTATTTTGTATTTGGTCATAATCGCAGTTTTAAATAAAAAGAGAGAAAATGGAGCTTAATAATTGAAATAATTAAATTAATAATTACACGTTTTAATTAAATTGTATTTTTTCAAATATCGTTAAATTGCCATTATTTGTTCATTCAACTATAATTTCTACCGATAAAATAATGTAAGTTTATTCTTGAGTGTTAGGAGTAGTCTTTTTTACCAAACTGAAATTAAAATTAAGAAGAATACGAATATACATTATTATAAAAGTAAAATTCTATAGAGTCGTCATAGAATCAAACTTTTAATTTTGTATCACAAGAAACGACTGCTTGTAACGGCGGGTTTTCAAAAATGCAATGAAATTTAAAAACAGAAATAAAATAGCCAGGAAGATATATCGTCATTCAGGTAGAAAATGATATTAGTCTTTCAAAAACATATTAAAGTTACATTATTGATAGCGAACTTGCTATCAGGGAGATTAGAACTCACCACAAGCGGCAGGACGGAGGCGAGTCTCCGCCGCATTCTAGCACGGAGATTTCAACGACAGAGGAAGAGAAACAGACTGGGAACCGAGCTCCAAATTTTTCGCCGGGAACGGGAGATCGCGGGCGATCTTGTCGCGCTTAATCGTGTCCGATTACTGATCGAAACGGAGCCTACCAAGCCGAAGCCGGATCGCACTTGCGGCCTACACGTAAAGCAAGCCAAGGCTCCGTAGTTGGCAGGGCAGACCGAGACCCACGCAATTTTCCTTTACGGTTGTCCGTTCGACCGTGTGTCGGACACCAACGATTTCGATAGATAAACAATCAAAAGCTGATTTGGGCCTTCAGCAT